ATCACAGATGCTGGCGAAACGTTAGGAAACAAAACTTCAAGACCACGGCCACACAGCCCGGAAGACCCACACCAGCCATCTAAGAATATCTATTTCTCCCAAGTCCAGGTATCAGCACTTGATATTCACAAGCAACATAGGACCATTGGAAGTTGTCTTTTATTGTATCAGAAAATTGTTCCATCTAACCTTTTGTTCTTGACATTGAATGGCAGTAACTCTCCAGAGGTTAAGGCAAGGGTTTTCCATCCCTCCTTGAAGATCCAAGACATGTACCCCTTTCTATGTGTAAATTAGGTGGTGTATCATGAGTGATGGTGCCTCCAAGTTCCCCAGCAATGTTAAATGTTGTTGCACCATACAGTACAGTCCCCAGCTATGCTTTAGGTAAGAATTCTGATCTGGGAATTTCCCCATTCAAAACCAGCACGCTTTGCTTCTGGTGCTCGTAAATCATAGTAAAAGGTAGAGATCAGGCTTGTAGAAATATCACTGCTTGTCATTTAAACTACAAGGTCTACCAGCTGAAACTAATTGTGAAATAGTAGCTCTGGAGTCATTAGCTCTTCAGGATTAAATAAAGACAGGGTTCACATGTTAGCTATTGTTTGCTTAATTTGGGTTCATTTGGTAAGCCACAGTTTCTGGGTTCATACATCTCACTAGGCCATTACACATAAAATGAAATGCCAACTAAACAATAACAACTTCCACTCCTGGTATATACAGATTATGGCTTAGTGAAAAGTTTGTCTTATTTTGTTTTATTCTTAGGGTATTGTTTCTATCAAGGACAGGGAGTCAGGAACTCTAGTTGATCTGCTGGAAATAACTAAAAGATCCATCTTTCTTCTTGGCCTGTACCTGTTCATCCCTTCTAAAACACACTGCTGCATTCTGTACTTTCTGGCAAATTGTTGCATGAGCTTGTTAGAATCCACCCATGTAGTCCTTGTCTTTGGCAAAGTATTTCCTGATCATCTTCTTCCTGATCATTTTGTGCAATACCTGAGGTCTACTTCTCTTACTTTTGTTGTCTTATGTGTCAGTAAAAATACTGCACATTTTAAGTCTGCCCAGGGTCTCAGGGATGGATTGCTGTTTTTTTTATCCTCAAGACAAGACTTTGGAATGTTACATTAACTCTTATTACTACTTGTAGAGGTAAATCTCCTTTGAATTCAGTTTACAGTACTCCTAATGATTGAATGGACACAGCTACAGTATTTCTTGGCAACACTAGAGAACTGGCTTGCTATTATCCTCTTTCAGGATTTTTGTTTTACTTCCTAGCCTGACCAATAGCTCTCAAATTTCTTGGTGGTCTCCTATTCATTTACCAACCAGATCAGACCCAGCTTAGCTTTGTGAGGTCAAGACTGGCTAATTGTTTCTGCTGCACTCTTTGCTTTGAATGGGGAAAGAAGCATACTATGCATACTGAATAGTAGAATTTGATGAGACTTAGCTAGATAACGGGATCGTTGTGGATGAAGCTTAGACGTGATCCTGGACCAGAACTGCTTCCCAACATGTCCCTTCCCCTTCCCCAAACCCAGCATCTAAACCTTTTTGTGATGTCATTAACTCCTTGGAAGGTTAGTGCTTGTTCTATACACTTAAATCTTGTTGCCACATCTTGAATTGAAATCAGCTGGATTGTTCATATGTCTTTGGGATAATGTTCAGTCACTGTGGGTTAAAGATGCATGTGTTCTGGTTGGCTATGTACCCAAGTATTTGGAATCTTTTAAGACTCAGGAATTGTGATTTTTTTCAGGCATGGGAACAGGCTGAAAGATTTATTATGACATACTGGAAGGAGAAATCTATACCTCATTTGCAGATATTGTCTGTGTTGTTTACCCACATTTGAATTAGTGTTGTTTTCCCCCACAAAGTTGCAGGGAAGAAGATTTTGGAGCAGTAGGGGTCACCTGCTTTAGTTTTGTTTTTTAAACAGTTTCCCAGGCCTTTTTAAATTCTGCTTTTCTTTGCTTATGAGAATTAAATTTGAGTCAGACTATATTGTCAAGACTGTTCTATGTATAATTTTTTCTCTATTAAGTAGCTTGATAAAACAAAAAAAGTTTTTTTAAAATACTCCCATGTAGGCAGTAAGTTTTCTAGACAGAAATCATATTGTTCGTATTTTCTG